CACACTTTTACACTTGGTTACTCTACAAAGGGTATTAGTAAGAAGCTTTTGGTAAAGGTGCCGTCAGTCGCCGCGCGTTGTGTGCAGGCTCACAACGCGCGGCGACACAACGTTGGTATTGTTATGTTGCTCGGAAAGTGATGCCGCATTACATCCTATTGTGGAAGGATAGACATATTAAAGTGTGTGGGATCCTTTTGATAGGAGAAAGCAAGCCATGCAAGAGGGATAAAAGCATTTGCGAAAAAATTGCTCAACCTAGATTCGAAGCAAGGTATCAAAAATTGGATTTACCCGAGAAAGAAATTGTATCCCTGTACAAAATTCTTGGAAGTCTTCAATTTGCACATGCATGTACTCTGAACATACAATTTTGTGTACAATTTGTGGAATATTTTTACGGCTAAAATACAAAAAAAAAACAAAATTAGCGCTTTTCCAATTTTTGCAGCAACGTATTTCTTGAGCTAGCTTTCAAAAGCTGAAAATTCATGGTTATCACTTAAAGGTTAATTTTATAGAGTTATCTCTCTGGATAAAACTCAGGATTGCATTGACAAAAGCTTGCCAGCTTTCGTTTTCTCGATCTTAGTTGTGGAAAAATAATGAAACGGTGCATATGAGTGTCTTTTATAGAAAGGATGTGCGTCAGCAAGTTGGGAAAACTTTCGGGCTATTTCGGGCGTTTTGGAATTTTATTCGTACAAGTTCAAAATCTTTGCGACTGTTTAAGCACGTTTTCCTTGTAGAGCTTGTTCTCCTAACGAACAGTATTTCCCTCAGTGTTATGGCGTATTCCGCAAAAAGGGATGACGCGACATTTTCTTCCAAACAACTTGATATTATGGCTGAATTTTTTAGGTTAGTAAAATGGCTTTGAGAACTAAATAGATATTTGATGAAGTGATAACTAGCAAAGTCTTTGTTTTGAGGAGCTTGTTTATGACAAACAATTTTTCTCTAAGCTTACCCTCGGGTTGATGAAGAAGCGATCTGAGTGATGTTGCGCGGTGTTGTGGAGTTGAAGGTTCTAAAGTGTGTTTTACAACTGTTTGCGTATAGTATCTTAAATTTAGTACTAGAATTTTTGCTGTAAATTAACAATGTGAAGCAAAAACAGAACATTCCCCGCTTACCGACGAGTGCTGCTTGTTGTAAAATTGCCGGATTTAATGCTAGCCAATCCAAGATTGCTTTTCTTCAAATTGAAAGTGACGCAGTATTGTTTGAATAGAGGAACACCAAAATACCACTTTGCATTGGAAGAGGAAGACAATGCAAGCATGCATTTGTTTCCTATGTAGAATAAACATTTATGGAAATTTCTGGATTGAGTTTATTAGATAGCAGCCATTAGGAGACAATCAAAATTTTTGAGAAGGAAAAAATCTTAGTGTGTGTCAAAAACCGTTTGAATTTTGCTCTCTAGGTGTCAGTGGCGAACCCAGGATATCCGTTCTGTGGAGGGGGAAGGAGACAAAATTTTTTCTGATGAATTTTTTTGGTAAGCTTCTCAGAATTTTCCAGGCTCATAACCCCGAAATTTTAGAAGAAAGCCCTCGAAAAGATTTTTTCAAGGCTATAATGAATTTTTGAAAAATTTAATTACACAAGTATAAATAAGTCACTTGCAAGTTTTTGTAACTTATGTAAGTAACTTTCAAAATTTTTGCACCCACTCTCGGGGGGGGGGGAGCCCGTGCGTTGTGCGCGTACCTCACGAAGGTGTCGCATTTCCGCAGAATTTCCCTAATTTGGGCTTTACAGTAAAAGATCCGAATCAAAATGTTGATGTGTATGCCTTGAGAGGAAACAGAGTGCGACTTGTACAACACTGGTTCTTTTCTATGCAGAACATGTTCGTATTGGTCTTGTGATTTTCACAGTAACACAAGTAATAGAATTGGCATGTATAGAAGAGTTGAAGTCGCTGATGAGCTTTCTTGCCAGAACAAATGGAATGAGCCAAGATGTGTTGGTCCGCATAATTCAAGGCAGGAGCAGAAACTCTAGGGACATAAACTCTTTTATCCAAAATAGTTTATATGGGCAGGCAAAAAAGTCATTCTTGACACAGACCACATCGCTGAACCACATACCTTAACAACAAGCAGTTCCGGACTTATGGAGTACTTCAATTTTTCTGTGTTGAACTGAAGACTTGGAATTGTCTTGTTGCACGGAATTTCACAAGATCCGTTATTGAACTAAAAGAAAAGGTTTTTTTTACGAAATTTCTATTATTGTTGCATTATCGGCGGCAGTACCTTTGCTCCAACGCTATTGGCGATTTGTTTAGCAACTGTCTTTGGAACACTTATGAGTGGTATTGTATCAGCAGAGCGTCATGTAATCAGGGAAATTAAATCACTTTTTGCTTAATTTTTTGAATTTTCCTTCGTAAATTTGGAAACGCACTTTTGAAGGAGCTGATGACGTTAAAATCTGTGTAATTTCTAGGCTTTTTATTAACTGTGATGGACCCTTGTAAGATCCAAAGACTTGGAAAAGTTCAAAGAATTCTATTAAGATTTTTGTGCTTGACTAACTGTTAGATAGGCGGATAATTTCTGTCACACCCTTCATTTTGATTCTTAAAAATTTGAAAGGGTTTCAGAAAAATCCATAGCCGCAACATGCAGGATAGAAAGGTCTAAATCATCGGTACCGTCGCATATGTACCGATACCCATTTTTTGGTTGAAAATCTGTTTTATTTCCATTTTGTATGTTTAGCATTCTTCCAGGTGATAACGAGAGACCGGACAAAGTAATAATCGAATAGCGCGTAGTCTATAGGTTTTAGGAGGGGGGGGGATGATACAGACATGTCTACATACTTTTTCCGAGCCGCTAACTTGTGAGTGAGCGCCATCTTTATTATCATCGAGATTCGGAAACGTTTTCAAAAAAAAATCAAGAAATTACAAGCTTTCCGTATTGATTTTTGTATTACGCATATAAGAAGAAATTTGGAATGTTTCCGAATTTTTAAGATGTTTTCGATCCTTGTCTTTGAAACTACATATAGAGACACCGGAGAGCCTCCATATAAGAGACAGTGAAAAGATAGCTGGTTGGTAGACCTTGCTATGTTCTAAAGGCTGAAGTCTTCGAGATGTTTTGGATCAGAAATTATCCGCCACCCATATTCAAAGTTTTGATATAGAAATTTTCTAATTTACCTGAATTTGATAGGAGCCTATTGGTGAGAATTTTTGATATGTGATGTTTGTCATACAGCTGGTGGAATCCTCCGCTCCATAAATCACAGAACCAGCATCCTCCCAATTTGTGAATTCTGCTTCAAGTGGATCGTGAACATGTCCGAGTCTAGCACTTCTTCAAATAATATGTAAAATTATGCAAAAAAGACATATTGGGACATTACGACATCATTGGATGCCGAAATTTGGAAGTTGCTAGAAAAATTATACCTAGATCTGTCCTCTGTCTCAATGTCACTGTCGCGGCACGCGTGGCTCGTTCACGCAATCGCCTATCTTGAATCTTGCGTTTGCGGATGTACTCACTTTCCAGGCCTTCAGTTGCCACTCTGGTCCTAACAGCTATTGAATGGGACCCGAGCCGCACGAGCCTGCGACACTGTCATTGAGACAGAGGGCTCTTGCTGGCAGGCTTACAGCATAATCGCTGACTTATTTCTAAAATATGTCACTCTTGCACAGCAATAAACTTACTGCCATTGATAAGTTTGTTCAAGAAGCGCTTCAAAACGAGTAAGTGTAATCTCTGAGTTCGACCATTCTCCCATAATCAAAACCTCTAGAAGATTTCTATGCATTATTGCACAGTCTTTTATTTGCCTTAGTTTCATGTAAATCAGGCTAGAGCGAAATCTAGGCTCGCTAGGCGATGTGAAAAATGTGCATGTTAACCTGAAAATTTCCAAAAATAATGTCAAATATTAACAATGAATGAGTTTGAGTATGGGAAAAAAGAAGCTTTCAATCTCAACAGCCTTCTTTGTTTTTCTGAGGGTTGAAGCATATGCTACGCTGCCTCAGAAGCTTCAAGTGCATCTTTATTCTAGAACTTCTCACCCTGGTTCACCACTTGTAACACAGTTTTCCAAATAAGCTGCTCATAAAATGTCTTTTATTTCATCTAAATGCCAGCAAAAAACCACCCTTTTGGTATTACGATGGTATTAAGCGCGCAGTATGTTGTCTTTGGAAGTGTTATGTAGCAATAAAGGCACTAACCATATATATGGTAGCTCATCAAAATTTTACTATGTAAAAACCTTAAAATCAACCATTGACCATTTGTCATGAAGCCTTGGCTTCAAATACTTTGAGAAACGAGTATTCTGTGTGAAATGTAAGGGAGAAAGAATTTTTCCCGAACCAAGTTATAGTTGATTAGCCCTTTTCTAAAAAGCGCGAAAATATGTAAACCTTTCCATAAAAGGAGTATGCACTTGGCGTCTACAAATCAAAATCGTAGTCGAAACTATTTTCAGGTAAAAATAATGTCATTATGTAACTGGCAGAGAAGTGATGTCAGTGACTTTGATCAGAACTATGTAGTGCGGGTCATAAAAATATTTCAGACTGCACTGCCTGGCACGAATTGAACCAAAAAAAGCTTTATTGTAGTTCACAACAAAGAAAAACGTTAAGTTTTAAATAGCTACAAAATGTCTCCAGTATATGGTACGCCGTATAACCTTTGCTGTTTCACGAAGACTTTCACCATTCAAAAACGGACTAGATTACATTGTAGCCCATTCCGACTTGTTCCAAGCTTGTGTTGAGCGGATCCCCAAAAAACTGTGTTTAGAAACTCAAAAATTTTATGTTAGCTGTTTCTGTATGGCGGCTGTAGGTTAGCCTGCTCGTATGTTTGAAACAGGGTTCGCTAATCCATAAGGTTTGTGAGTACAAGTATCATCAACAGAACCCAGTGAATTAAACCTAGCCACTGGGTTCTGTTGATGTATACTGGGTCGTTGGTTGTTGAAAAAAACGAAAAATTTATTTTTTTTTTCAATTCAACAAGCTTTAGGTTGTTTTGCATTCAATAAAATAATATGAGAATTGACACTAAAAACGCTTTGAAGCGGAGTATAGGCGCGTTCTTCTTCGTTGATGGTGTGAATGGCGCTGTTGTGACTGGTCTGAAAATGTTATCATTACATATATGCCCTCACGAGTCCAATCAGTCTTTGCGAGCTAGCTCACAAAAGTGGAACCGCCACAAAGAGTCAAAACATAACTTTGTGTAATTCATAGCATCAACTTCATGCTTAACACTATCAATTGCTTTTAGCTTGAAGTTATGGACTTGTGTACATTGTCAAAACTACTCAATAGGGTCGCGGTGAAAATGCGTATATAACTTCCATATATGACGAAGTCTTCAACATCGTGATCGAAGAAAAAACATAGAAATTTACAAAAGGTATAGATAGGCTTCTGTGTGTAATATTTTGTTAACCGACAGCCGAAAAGTTTGAAATTCCCCACAAAATTGTCATAAGCGATGTCGGTCTCACAACGGAGTATATAACGATGTGTGCAATCTAGAAAAGTGCCAACTTTTTGGCGCAAAAGGATCCCTCTGGCCTTTCTGGACCGTTTTGAAGCTTTTGAAAATTTTGACCGAACATCAACTGAAGTTCAAAGTACCGTAAGTAAAAGAAAAGATAGATGGGGCTTCAGTATAAACATTAAAAAGTCTAAGATACGGCTCATCCTTACTTGAAAGTTGTGGTATTGTTGCCATACTTTGCTCGAGCAAATCCTAGTTGCTTTCCCGTGTAATCGAAGGTAATACAATATTCCATAAAAAGAGGAGCTCCAAAGTACCATTGCGGACTGTCATAAGAACTGTTTATGTTGTGGTTCAAAGCAAGCACACATCCAGCAGCTGTCTGGAAAACATAAAGTTTCATTCCCTAGACTTCCTATGGTCTGTATTTACTTATACAGGGTGTCTCGAAAGTAAGTACATACTTTTTAATCGTTAATGACTCCCTTCCCACAAAGTTTTTGTTTATCTTTGAAAACTGTTCAGTAGAGCAGGCTCTAACTTACAAGGGATGGCACTTAACTTAGGTCGGTCTTTTGAAATGGCACACATGTATTTAGAATCAGCTCAAAACACTGATTCCAAATCTGCTGTCCTTAGCTGCAAAACGTTTCTCTGAAGCGAGATATGAGCTTTTTAGCATGTGTCATTGACATACAACTGAGTATGGGAAAAAAGGCTTGCAGACAGAATTTGCTCGAAAATATGGTGGAAAATCAAAATAACATCAAATTGAGTCATTTGGCCTTGATATAGTGTATAATGCATCTGAACCACTACCTAGATGATGATATCGTAGCATCCGTAAGTTGTCAACACGCAAGCCTTGCTCAGGAATCATGACTCGCTTCAGAGCAATGCTTCGCAGATATGGGTAGCAGATTTAAAATCAGCGTTTCGAGCTGATCTTGATTATGGGTGTCGCTTTTGGGGCATCATGTAGTTCGGAGTGAGCTTGCATTTATTAAATTCAAATAGTGCAACGGGAAAGCATAATACTATTTCTTCGTTTTTTATGAATTTAAGATCAGAGACTAAATTTGTTACTTCCTCAGAACTTTTCCTTTGGATGTAGTGCAGTCAAACTCCGATATTGTGCAGATATTAATGCGATCTACAATTGAGCACCAACTATTTGATAATAAACATGCATTTTTTGACTGTGCTTCGGGAATTGATGGAAGAGGGGGCGGGAGATTGATGGGGGGGGGGGGGGATAAGCAAAATAAAGCCCGCAATCTAGACTAGCACAATGTACGTAGGTACGTACGAGTTGATGTGAAGGTTGCTCATCTGGCTCAGTAAAGAAAAGGCTAAATTTGAGACAATTCGAACCCTCGAAAATGAATCAGTAGCTGTGTACGCAAGGCTGCTGAAGACAATCGACAGTGACCAAAAAGTTTGTACCTCATAATTTGCTGTTCGCCTAGCGGGGTTATTTGGCTTTCCAAACACGAATACTATGTTCATTTGTTGCAACGTCTCTTTTTTGTTTGAAATGAGATTTCGGATAACCCATGAGCCAAGTTTCAAAATTTAATATTTTATAATTTTTTCCGTATAAGATATAACTACCGCAGCTCGCACTGCGACGTCAGAGTTTGAAAGAATAGATAAGGCTGGGTTACAGCTCACGTCATATCCCACATATTGGCATAATCTGCGTCCATCATATTCCAGAAGAGGAAATTTATTGAAAACTTTGCAATTTAGTTTCCGCCTAATAAATCCCGCTCAGGTCGTCTATGTATGTGCAGAATATGATTAAGTAATTGGTGCGTACTCAAGCAGTATATTTGCTCGTAGAGTCTTTTCACGCTTGCAATATATAATATATTATATAATATGTAAGCTCTTTTTTAAAAATAATTCGTTTATAATACGCGATGAGCTTCTCTATCAAAAAAAAAACTAGAAGTGTAATTGGCTACTCATGCACCATAGCAAAACAAGAATTTTACATTTCAAGGGTAAATTGTAGGCTATGTAAACTAAATAAACCTAGTCTGATGCCTGGAAAATGTGGAGAAATTCCGACACCAGCAATTGGCAAATCTAATACTTATAACAATTGGAATTTTAACCGCGCTGAGATTACCTTCATGATCAACTTGTCCGAAGCGATTGTATACTTTGTTTTCTCGATAAAGAACTCAAAATCAGGTAGAGTTGCATCGCAACGAATGTCGTAATGATCAAACATGTACTGAAAACCTCATTAAAGACTTACTCTGAAATATAAGTAATCGCTTTACCTTCGCTCCCACACTGCTTGCTATCTTTTCCACGTCAGCCTTTGGACCCACGATAGTAGGAACAAGCTCGGGCATCATAGTCGTCTGATTAGTTGTAAATGTTCCCATTGAAATTGTCTGAATGGTTTAAGAACACAACATTTATAAGATTTGTTTTTGACGTAATGTTCGGATTTATCAAAACTATCATTTCTCCCTTAGATTGAGCATGAATGAGCGCTATTTTTGCGAAAGAGAGGATCAACTAAGAAAGTACGCCAAGTAGCTTTAAGGATTATGATTTTTTCACAAATTCATTCAATAAAGAGCAGGTTCCAAAAGATAATGTCAAACATCCAACTCAGAATTTCTTCTAGCCTTTACCTTCATTATCTTTTTCGAGTAGTTGAAGCTTGTCCGTGAATTTGAGACAGAAGAGACATGAATCTCCTTCCAAATTTCAACAAGTTTCTCTACGCTCTAATCAATGGTTCTCTCAACTGGCAGGTCGCTAAACCTAAGCTCCGAAATTTCAATCGTTAATGGAAAGCGTTTTTGGCGAGACACTTCCAGGTAAATCTGTGCAATCTGGCTATTCTGGCATTGATTTCGTTATGACGGATTCGAATATGCTTTGAACCTTGCAAAAGGCTGCTCTTCACTTTAAATAGTGCGGTTCGGTCGATTACCCTTTTAACAAGGGAGGGTCAAGAAGTCGAAGGGGCCGATTACCACAGACTGCTTGCTGTTAATGATAGCTGCAGCGCTGATTCCGAACCTGCTTTTGCTATCTGAGTGCAGAGTGCTTCTCGAAAATTGTGAGCATTTTTTGAAGTCGGAATGAACTAATGGCGTGGATAAAATCCATCGCTACAACCCTTCCAGAAATCAAATGATGCAGCGGCAGATTTCATGATACTTCATACAATAAACTCCTTTTGCCTAGTGTGTCAGTACTTCTTAATTCTCCATTTGACGACTGAGAAGAGTGTAACGATAGATTTGATCCTAAATCAGTTCATTTCTCCTCTCAAAAAAGACTCAAAAGTTCTCTCCCAAAGGTACTCTGCAGAATCAAAGCAGAGCAGATATGGAAAGCAGATTTGGAGTCAGCGTTACAAGCCAGCCCTCACTAGTGGTATACAGCTTGTAGTGTCACTTCGACTTTGTGACCCTCTCTGTTAAAAAGCAAACTGACTGACAGCCACTGGTCAAATACCTCCCCATACCTGACCCAACTGAAGTTATGGGGAAGTATCGTCAGAGTGCTTGTTCACATGTTCCTTATTTTTTCACTGTTGAATTTAGTGTCTTCACAAGTTCGAAGGCGAAGAACGCCAACAGCGAACTAGAGCAGAACGAGTAACTCGCAGGCAAGGATCTCCAAGACAAATTTCAAGAGGCTTTACATCATTTAAGTTGCACTACTTATCTGTATCATTAGCATTAGCAAAAGGAAGTGCTATGTTCATATTTTTGTGATAGAGCTTTTGTTTACCTGTAGTTGAATAGACGTGCCTGATGAGACCTTGTGGTAGTGAATGAATGGCACACAGTTGGTAGAATCTGTGGAGCCGTAAGTTACCAATCCTGCTTTTGACGAGGTCAGCTGATGATATAAATAGATAGTGAACATCGCAGGGTTCACGATCTCTGCAAGTGAGGTTATAGAATATCTTATATCTGAAACAAATCAGGACAGTGAACCACGCTCACTCTCTTGAAAGAGCTGTAACAAAAAAGGTTCACTGGGAATTCCGCTTTCACGAGTGACTCCAAGACCAAATACTCCATCTGCAACAATCTAAATAGGTTCTGCTCAATAGGAATTCACAAAAAGAGACTAGTAGTCTTACTAGGCTACTCTCGTTCGACAAATCTGTAACCAAGCCAAAAGTGCAATTGACCGGCATCTGTCTTTCGTCTACAGAACCGATCTGTATAAAAGTCAATCACTTATTGCACCAAAATTCAGCCTGCTTGATATACTTCTCTAGGAGCTAGTGCAAGCTTTTGCGCTTTCGATACACTTCAGCAATATCACTTACTCTTACAGTATCTTTTCCATGGACACCTGAAACCAATCCAAAAGTTTTTTGAGACCATGGCCTAAGATCATCCGCAAATGTGCTTGACTGCGATGGATCAAATCGGTTTTTACTTTGACAAGCAGGAGTGCTAAATAGTTTTAGACAATCTGGAACACAGTTTATCTTGATTACGGTGAAAAACGTGAATAAGCGCATTAAACTGGATTTTTTTCTAAATGATTCTCAGTATTTCAGTTGCAACGTATTAGCATATTAGAGAAAATCATGACTGTTTCGATTCCATTAATAATTGAAGTGAAAATTTAACATGAGCACCATGGGATATATGCTTATGTACATTGCAATATGGTACAGTGGAACCCTCAAGAATTTTTTAGGGACAGCAGGAGAAGAATTTTGACCGAAAGAGCGTAGGGACATGCCAGAATTGTGAAAATTACTTTTTTGAGATTATTCGCAATTTACTCACAGTCAAGAAATTGCGAAAAGTGCGAGGCAGAAATCACCTAACGAAAATAGAAACTAATAGTTTTCAGAAGTTAAAACAAACCCTCTGGTCATGAAGGTAAACCTTGAACTGTGGGCCACCTCTTACAAGGGAAGCTCTTTAGTCGAAGTGGCTTTTCCACATGGCACCTATATCACTTTGTAGAGCACTGAACGGTGATTCCAAATCCGTCTTCCATATCTGCCAAGCGCCCCTGCTGGAGACCGAGTTATGGGCATTTTTGAGTCGAAAAACTGAATGCATAACTGGAACAATTCGTCCAAACTGCTAAAATGGTCAGGTGTTCATCACCAGAGAACTTCACTTGGTGAACACCTTCTAATACCCTTATACCCAACAGTGCTTTATTTGAGCGCAGAAAATTGTAATTACTGTTTGTACTTAGATTCTGCGTTCATTTTTTGCTCCAAAAACACTCATAACTCGGCGCCCAGGGGCGCTTGGCAGATAGCGAAAACAGATTTTTAATCGGCGTTCAATGCTTTAAAGTGGTATAGGATTCATTTGGAAAGGACACTTCAACAAGGCCGCTTCCCTTGTTAGTTAAAAAATAGAGCTCTTTACCCATTATCTCTCCTCTAACCGAGCCGAAAATGTAGTTTAGTCATCTCACCGACAAAACTCCAGTTTTGGTAATTAATGATCCGTTGTATTTCGTGATGAAAACCTCAGCACCGGATTCCCCAGCGGTTCTTGGCTCCGGACTTGCTCACGTCGAACGGAGGCCCCATCGAAGTGACACAATGTATGCGTATACTGTTTGATCATTGGAACTCCTCCCTTGTGCCTATATTTGGGTATCACTGTGGAACTGGCTTCAACTCAGATTTGCAGTACAGAAATCACCAGTCTTTATTACTCAAATAATCACGGGGGGTAGGCGGCCATGCGACAAGAGGACACCGGAAAAATAGTTCGCTGATTTCCTGCGTTCCGCTTGCATAAACTTGGAAGAATGTTGGCCAATTTTTAGGCGAATGCTCGGAAAACAATCGCGATTTTTCTACAGATTAGTTGCGGCGCAGTATTCGCGATATCGCGGACGTTCCGCCAAATATACAAAATTATTGAGGGCCGCACGGCCCTTTGTGGAGGACCGCACTGCCCGTAGGTACCTTTCGTTAAGAGAAAGTACTCCAAACTCGGGTAATTAAACCATCGATGACATTTTTGCATGCAGAGTCTCGCCTTTGCTCGTCGTACGCCCGAAACTGCGTAAAAACGGTCCAAGCGTCTGGTTTGGCCAGCGCTCGCTGAAGGAGATTATTTAACGTGCGCTTGCAGAAAATTTTATAATATTGTCCGCTGGCAGAAAACGGAAGTACCGCTCGCTGAAGGTTTGGCCACGCCAAAAATTTTGCTGACCGCTTGCAGAAAAGCGCGAGGGACCGCTTGCCCCGGCGATTGTCTGAGTATTTGATGATCCAAAAGTCATGCGACACCTAGAGTGTAAATGCAGTTTTCCCAAACAGAATCAATGGGATGCCCAAGTTTGGCCAGATGCTAGTAGATGTTAGAACATATCAAAACTTTCTAAGAGGTAAATGGACCTGGATCTTGATTCCATAATCCGATATTTCATCAGTGCTTGAATCAAAGCTCGTCACTAAGTATTTTCAGCTTTGAGCAGCAGAACCGCAGTAAAGCAAGTGAGGCTATTAAATATATCTGTGCCGCATGGGCGAGAGGACTGTCGCCAAATCCACGGCAGACTGTGGTCGCAAGGCTTATCCTTTCATCGATGTAATCAAATGAGCTCACTTTTAACGATTGGCATCTTCGTTTTCAAAAGAACTGTGGGCCAAAACATGATTTTTAGCTGCGCCAAGTATTGCATTTTTGAATAAACTGACTCCTATACAAAATAATGAAAGTGTATACTCAAGTATTCAACTTGAAACTAAAATTAGAAGTACTCTAGAAAGCTATTTCGAATGGTATGTAGGTTGTACAGGGACCTTGGGATGCAGCAAAAATTTGAATGGTGTTCAAAAAAGTCTATCTGGCTTTTCGAAAATGGAGCTCGAAGGATTGTAGCAGGGACCTGCAAGTCGCTGTCAGGATAACATGTGAAAATGACCGCTTACCATTCTTTGGAAAGAACTTTGAAACTGTAAAAAAAAATTGAGGTGTCCCATAATATTGAATCATCCTAATACTTTGGCACTTCCTTATTCGGAAAATGGCTACAAGATTATAGCAAGTGCCTCGCGGGTGTCTAATATTATACTCGCTTTCTTTACTGTGAGAGATTTTTGAGCTTCTAATTGTACAAAGCAAATCAAAAAGATCCAAAACTTATGTGAACCCTCTGTGTCTATACTCCTACCAACCCAGTTAGTTCGGTGTTGCTCTAGAAACATCGACAAATTCGCCAATGGTTTTAGCACATAAGTTTTCAAAGCTTTTTACATAATATAGTCTGGGGTGATATTGTCTACACATAGCCCCAATCTGGTGTCGTGTGATTGTCTGTGGGTTGCAAACAAGTCATTTGCTTTTGGATCTTACATTTGAAAGCTTCCGCTTGCAAGGAAACGCGTTTAACTCCCACAATTTGACAAGTTTGCCGATTTTCTTCTAAGCCTTTGTCCCAGATCTTGCAAAAACGATATTCTCTTTTTACCCCCAAAACGAGGTCCAGTTTGATTCCAGACCATCCTGTGTACACCTAATGAATTGCATCCAACATTTTTTATTGAAAACGGAGAAAACTATGATTGAACTCTACACAAAACTCACTTATCAAACTAATAATGCTGCATTCACATTATGTGAATAACGACTGGTGAGTAGCAAAACTCACGTGCATGTTATGCTTGGTATCCAAAGCATGGGGCTGCGCAACGATACAATCAATGTAAACTGCTCCTTTCTGCTTCCAATCAGAACTCTGTGAGTGTATCCGTTAATCCCGACATACAGCTACAATGCAAAGTAAATGATTTCTTTGACATTTAGATAACGTTTCGCTTTTCCATATAAGAATATAGCTGAATTAGAATCAATTATTTAAGTATCTAATGTAAAATGATACTTTCAGACTTACTGCAATAGAATAGTTTTGTGTATTGTTGAACGAACTAACGTGCCCTGCAGCCTTTCCAAATACGACACCCTGAAGATACACTGAAAACCTACATAAGCTACTTCGGTGGCATCAACTAACAGTGACTTGTCCTGCGGTCATAAATGAGAGAAGCGAAGTGGCGAACATGTCTGTACCTGTTTTCTCAAAATATATGACTATACTAAAGACGGAAAAAAGAAAAGTGCGGAAGAACGATTGAAGGCGTTCAGGGCCTCAGCAAATTGAATGCGTTCAAGCGAGAGTGAATACTCATAGATAGCGGTCAGGAATTGGTATTTCGCAGAGCTAGAGCATCTAAAGTACCATTTCCACCTCCAGCGGTGAAGGCTGGCAACAGAGCCAAGTCTTTCAAATAAACCTCACCCAGGCTAAAGAATACGAGGAATACCGTCCTCACTATCTGGGAGGTCTTACTATAATATCTTTTGGTAACTGCCAAAGCGATGCGACGAGAGTACTCTCCTCCCCCCTATGCTTTACCGTTGTGCTATGTGTTCTCTTACAGTGTTAACAGCAGATTCGTGACAACGAGGGCAGTCCAGATTATGCGGCGACGAAATATAACTGCGATACATGAACTAATAAGGATGTGCAGAGAAACACCGAGAGAGAGCCGGGGAGCGCATGCACTCAAGGAGGATCCATATAGTTTGCATAACAGCGACGTAGAGTTGGCGGCGTTCGTAGTTAGTTTCCAGACTGTATGCACTTTAAGTGCAAATTATAGAGCTTGCTCCGCATGGAAAGTGCAAATAGGGCAACAGTCGTCAAAGATCACCTCCTCATTCATGAACAAGCAAAGAGAGGATCAAGTGCGTATCATGTACAGAGCTCAAACAACAAAAAATTGATTCCAGATTACCAAATTAGTGCAAATGTCTGACCCCCAGTTGCTATCATAATTTGGAAAAGTGTCGCTCCATTTTCCTGGCCTGCCTAACTTCTTATAGTCATTAGTTTTCGAAAAGGACATTATGATTTTGAACAATTGAAGATTAGGAAAATTAGATAACATAACCTATCAATCTTACGGGGATTCGCTTAAACCTCGCCTTTTGAATACTTGTACTTTTTGAAAATATTGCTTTTGCCCCTGGAAATAGAGGAAACAGGGGGAGCTACGTTTCGTTGGAAGAAAAGAATCAGTCGATTTATGCGGTAGTAAATTTTCTAAATTTCTTAGGAATATTTTGCTAAATTTCTAGGATTAAATGCTGAATCTCAGAAAAACCTGTTAAATACTTACTTTTGGATGCTTTTACATTGTGAAAATAATGTTTTTGCCTCTAAAAACAAATTAGCAGAGTGAGCTCAGTCTGCTAGAAGGAAGGACCCAATAAATCCACTCAAAAACACACTTCTTTCATTTAGATTTTTTTCAATGTGAAAAAAATTCACAAACATTCACAAAATTCACAAACATTAAAATTCACAAACAAATGCAGCAAGTTTCACAGAAACTTGCTGCATTTGTTTTTGGCGGCCTCTGCTTTGTGAGAACCCTGCTTTTGCCAATAAAAACAACACAGCAGAGGGAGCTTGTCTTAATGGAAGAAAAGACTTAGTGTTCATGCGGCAGGACATTTTTGATATGATTCTCTAGGTTTCAGTGCTGAATCTCACAAGAAAGGCTTGAATTTCACTTTGGCCGCTTTTATCTTGCGAAAACCGTACTTCTGCTTCAAAAAGCATAGGTTTCGAAGAAAGGAAAGCTTCGAGGACTTTATGCGGCAGCTTATTTCGGCTAGGGACTTCTCAGTTTCAATGCTAAATCATGCAAAAGCTCGCTTGAAATCCATTCTTGAATACCCAGAGGCTTCATGCGACAGGACATTTTTGCTAGGATTGTCCAAGAAAAAGCTTTGAGCGAACTTTGGTCTAGCTTCAAGAAGTGACCGTTTCTTGGCGAAACATAATAAGGAGGGTATAGGACTGTGCATGATCGCGAAGCTCGATGTGTTGGAGGCCGTTGCACAATTCCTGAGTGTCAGCCTGATCGGAGAATCAGCTGTTCTAGATAGATACTGCTGAGGTGAAGGTGAACTTCACGTTTAGTAGCTGTGATATCTGAGTAGGGTACTTGCAAGAAAAACAGCGTAGATGATTTGGGAGTTACTCACTGCAAAAAGTTTCCTTGAGAGCATAATCCTACTTCTACTACTACGTACTTAAATTGCGCCAGAGATCGTTGAGAAAATGGAAATGATCTTGAAATGAAACCTTGAAATGAGCCTGATCTTGGTTCTGCTACTACTTGCATTGCGAGAAAGATCTTGAGAAAATGGGAATACATTCTCTTGCTATTTTTAGTTGCTCGTAGACAGTTATCAATATATCTGCCCCAACCCACTTGCTAGCGACGCGTAGGGTCGCTACTGCCGCAAGATATTTTTGCTAAGAATTCCTTGTTTTCAAGGCTAAGTCATAAAAAACCGTCTTGAAATCCACTTCAAGCAAAAACTCTTGTGCTCTCAAAAGTATAGAAGTAAAGGAGCTTTGCAAGAAGAACAGCGTAGATGATTTGAAAGTTGTCATTGTAAAAAGTTTGTTTGAGAGCATGATCTTACTCCTACACTACACACTTACGTTTCGCCAAAAATCGTTGAGAAAATAGAAATCCATTTCCTTGCTATTTTTAGTTGCACGCAGGCAGTTATCAATGTATCTGCCCCAACCCACTTGCTAGCGACGCTAGGGTCGCTACTGCCGCTGACATTTTTGTTAAGAATTCCTTGTTCCAAGGCTAAGTTATAAAAAACCGTCTTGAAGTCCACTTCAAGCAAAAATTCTTGTGCTCTCAAAAGCAGAAAAGTAAAGGAGCTTTGCAAGAAGAACAGCGTAGATGATTTGAGAGTTCATTGTAAATAGTTTGCTTGAGAGCATGATCTTAATCCTAAACTACATACTTACGCTTCGCCAAAAATCGTTGAGAAAATGGAAATCCATTTCCTTGCTATTTTTAGTCGCACGCAGACAGTTATCAATGTATCTGCCCCAACCCACTTACTAGCGACCCCTAGGGTCGTTACTGCCGCAGGACATTTTTCGTAACAATTCCTTGTTTTCAAGGCTAAGTTATAAAAAAATCTTTGAAATCCATTTACAGAAAAGCAAAAGAGGCTGGTCTCAAAAGAAGGATAGAGCCGTGGGCTTCACAGCAGGATCTTTTCGCTAGATTATTCAATAGAAAGCTTCAGCGAGCTTTAGTATCGCTATAAGGGTGCCTTCATACCGCGGCCGGCAGCCGCCGCTAGCAGCCCGTAGCAGCCCGCAGTAGCCGCCAGCAGCCCGTAGCCACAGCTGGCCGCTTTTGTCATAGAAGCGCAAAACATCAAATTCTTGCTATTTTAAGCGCACGCACACGCTTTCCATCGCGTTTTTTCCTCCTTGTTGTCGAAAGGGAAACTGAGCACCAATATGATAACCAATCTACCAATCTAACCAATTCGCTCTCATATATCATACTTGTGGCCATTGCTGTTAAAATCTTGTTGCCGTAGATTGGTTATCATATTGGTGCTCAGTTTCCCTTTCGCAGTTGAACCATATTTCGCCAAAGTTTCTTCGCGGTGTGATCGTCTGACTTTGGATGCGTCCAGTTTCTAAAGTGCTTATTTTTTATGCATGGCTCTGCTTCAATTATATCCTTGGCCAGTGCTTATATAAACAACTCTGTAATGTGTGGAAGTGGAAATGCAGATTAGCCGCAACATGGAGGAGAGTGGAAGATGGAAAGCGTAGACGTTTGCGCTTGAAATAGCAAAAATTTGATGATTTTGCGCTTCTATGACAAAAGCGGCCTGCGGCGGCTACGGGCTGCTGGCGGCTGCTAGGGGCTGCTAGCGGCGGCTGCCGGCGCGGTATGAAGGCACCCTAAGAAATGACCTTATGTATTGGGAGACATTATCAAAGTGTAGAGTTGCGCATGATTGCGATGGTCGGTGTGTGCAGCCATTGCCTGAGAAGGATTCCATAAAATTCCTTTATCTGGTGAACAACTCCATATTCTTCAGAATCGCTACAGGTAATCAAAAGCTATGATTGCGGAAAAGCGTTCAAAAGAACGAAGAAAATTGAGAAAGCTCCATGCATAAGCGATGGTAAACTCACCGATCTTTACTATCATGCAAACTACGTTCGTTCGGGGATACTCTACAAAATTTGGTTAAAGCGCTTGAAAAATTTACATATCTGAGTTTTCTGTTACTGGAAGCTTTTTAAAACATGACACAGTTCCTGAAAATCAGCCTGAGTTTTAGTTTGTATCAGATTTCAATGTAAAATTTTACGGGAACTGCTGAACATTTGTTTGGCTGCTTCTACATTGTGAAAATTCTAATTTTGCCAATAAAAACAACACAGCAGAGTTTGACTCAAGGGAAGAAAAAACTCAAGTTCATGCCGCAGGTCATTTTTGATATAATTCTTTAAGTTTCGGCCCTGAATCTCACAAGAACCTTGCTAAAAACAACCAGTACCAACTTGTTTGTATATTTTTTCAATGTGAAGATCCACAGAAACTTGCTGCATTTGTTTTTGGCGGCCTCTGCTTTGTGAAAACCCTACTTCTTATATATAAAGCTGAATGTCTGTTTGTATGTCTGTCTGTATGTGTGTCTGTCTGTCTGTACGTATGTTCCGAATAGAAAATTCCATTTCTGAACCGATCCGGACCAAACTTGGCACACATACACTACGGGCCCCGGCGGGTGTCATAGGCTACTTTTCGTCATCGATCGATATCGATTTTATCGATTTTTATCGATTTTTTTGCTGAGTTCACCTACGGGGCTGGGAGTTGGCATAGGGGGGTAATCGAGCATGGGGATTCCGAATACAATATTGGTTTTCAGGATTATCGATTACTTTTATCGATTTTATCGATTTTTTTGCAAAGTTTGAGCTACGGGGCTGGGAGTTGGCACAGGGGGGTAATCGAGCATGAGGATTCCGAATACAATATTGGTTTTCAGGATTATCGATTACTTTTATCGATTTTATCGATTTTTTTGCAAAGTTTGAGCTACGGGGCTGGGAGTTCGCACAGGGGGGTAATCGAGCATGGGGATTCCGAATACAATATTGGTTTTCGGGATTATCGATTACTATTATCGATTTTATCGATTTTTTGCAAA